TCATAGCCATTGGCAGAAGCAGGCCTATTGCAGCAGGTCAGCATGGGAGGCTGAAGGAGTGGGCAAAAACTTAACAGGGCAAATATACGTGCTTCCTCCTCACTGAACTTCAGCCTTGCTTCATATCAGCGAGAGTTTGGCCCAAAGTAGCCTGGTTTGTTGCCTGGCTTCCTTTGGACTTGCCTGCTGCTTCTCCATCATCCGTCCTGCTGCATTAAGAGTATTGATGTTACTTTGGTTTATTCTAGATAGCCATAAAATGCAATGATTTTATTTTTTGCTGTTGGGGGTGTGGTTTGGAGAGTATTTCCCCCCTTTCTCTTAATTTACCATTTAAAAATTGGAGGCGGTTATTGCAAATGTACAATCTGTGTTTTGCAATCAGAATACTTAACAAAGTATCCCATTCTGTAACACAGTCTATCAGCCTAGGAGAGTGCTGGATGGATGGGAATGCCAAGCCAAACAGATAACCTTAGCTTTAGGGTCCTGTATACTTGCAGTACGAACTGGTCTCCAGTTTCTCAGTGCATATTTGCATAGCTGTGTTTCTAAATATACAATCTGTATTTAGCAAGAAATTACTATTTTTATGATGGGTGTGGGCAGAGGCGTATGTGCAAAATGAATAAAGATCGAACAATCAGAGTCAGAAAGGAAAGGGGGAACACACACACATAAATGTCATTTATTTTTTACTGAGGCAATAATTGAATCAAGCCAGACGCTGGCACAAACAGAGGTATGAAACAAAGGAAAAAAGTTGTGTCTTGAACTATATTTATACAGTATAAAAGGCCTTGGAGTTAATATAGAGTGTGCAGGTTTCCAGAAAATAAAGTTCAAGAAGGTGTGAGAGAGAGAGAGAGAGAGAGAGAGAGAGGGGGAAAAGGATTATTTTTGCTGTTCAACCAGTGTTTTCAGAGCTAAAAGCAAAAGAAAACCTTTAGTTCATGCATAGGCTTGGAATCTGTGACAGAGGGTGTTGTGTGTCCGGGCGCATGCGTGTGTGAGAGGGTTGAATCGTAGAATGAACAAGAGCTATGGGTGTACAGATTTATTTTCTCCAAAGCTGTTTGCCAGCTATAGGGGTGAGTGAGAATTTCTTTTTTATGAAAAGGGATATAAAAAAGGCACTGAGCTGATGCAGTATTTGTAATATTAAAATTTGACCCGACATGGTATTTGCATGAATCACAATTGCTAAGTATTGAGCATTTTTGTAATCTGACATTTAGAAAAGAAACGTGGTATTTATTCTTGTGCTTTGTATTCATATATAGTATAGAGGCTGCCAGATTTACTCTTTCTTTTCATGCAAAGCAATACAATATGAATTTTACAACTAGGAACCATAATTTCTGGACTAGAAATTATCATGTTTAGGAGACACATACATGTATGTATTGTTTTTATAAACCTCAAATTATTTTAACTTTTTAAAATCAGCCAAGAGACTGATTCTCCCCCCTGTATCCTCTTCCGTTTTCATACTGCTCTGTGACCTGACATAGGTACGTCTACACTGCACACTTATTTTGAAATAAGCTCTTCCAGAACAGTTATTTCAAAATAGCACATCTATACTGCAGAGAAGCCTCAAAATTAGTCCGAGGCAGGCTCCCCTAATGTAGACGTGCTATCTCAATTTAGAGCCCCAGGCAGCACTGGGGAAGAACAACTTAGAATGGCACTGGTGAGGGGCTATTTCAAAATAGCAGCAGTGGAGCATCTACACACGCCTTATTTCGAAATAGCTATTTCGGAATAGGTGTTATTCCTCTTAGAATGAGGCTTACAGATTTCAAAATAAGCTGTCTGTTATTTCGAAATTATTTCAAAATAAGGGAATGACTGAGTAGACGCTCGCATTATTTCAAAATAACACTATCTCGAAATAATGGTGCAGTGTAGATGCACCCTTAGTGTTTTATTCTGAGGCTCACCTAAAATGCCTTTAGATACTATGAACATTACTCTGGTGCTTTTATTAGGCAAACACAGAGCTTTCAACCAAAAGATTTTGTTTCCTTCCAGCCTGTGGTTTGACACACACAAAATATGTCTCACATGTTCCTTTACACTGTCAAATATTTTGTAACCTATGTTGAGGGATTGTAGCACAAGTTGGCAATAAGCATTAATTAAACTTGTTCTATGAATTGCCTCTAAACAGAAGAAAGTCCTTTTGAATTGGGCAGTTGTGTTGTACTGATGTCTTTAAAGTGAGTCATATGCATTCATATTGGAGTCTATAGATATACAACTAGACTAGCAGTTTGGAAATGCAAATATATTCAGTTCTGACCCGGTTCCATAAAGACCCATTAATGTTTCCAGTAGATTGTAAGAAGTATAATTCCACAGGCTCAGTAGTCTGTTGTCCAGCTGATGGGCAGTATCCCATGTAGTAACACTTACAGGAGTTACATCCCTGTACTGAGAGGGGGTTTGGCTCCTTCTTGGTTTGAGAAGAGCCTAGATGAGCCACGGAAAGGGTTTCTCTTAGCAATAGTAGGTGGTATCAAGCTGTATGTCATAAGTGGCTCATTACTGCAAAATGGTCTTACATCAAGGCATGTACATTTCAACTTCTTGCCGCAGTGGTTGAATTCTTACAGCTTTTGCTCCCTTTGAATTGAGTGTGCTTGTCCCATTGCATGGTTGCAGTTACCTAGGACTGAGGGCGTTGTCAGGAGTTCCTGGTTCTTTCACCTTTGAAGAAATACGCATTTTTTCCCTTGAGGGGTTTTTTTGTAAGTAAAAATAAAAAAAAGTAATAAAACATTGGATGTCACTTCTTCAGCATTATATGGCTTGTCACGGGGCATCTTCTGCTTTGCGTGCTCCTTCCCTCCAACTCCTGCTGTGAAAATAAAGTCTCCTATAAAGAAAGCCTGATTTTGCCATTTTGGAATCAATCCTTTATGCTGGAATGGGATCTAAGCAGCATTTTCAAACACCCTGCAATTAAATAATGTTTGCATGCCCCAGGCCAGTAGAGCTAACCCATCTCCCGCCCAACAGTTTCTCTTCCAGAAATTATGGAAGCAAATATCATTGTTATCAGCAGCACATGGCTCAGTGCTGTGATAACTTAAATGCTGTGCATTTTACTTGCCTTTTCTTTATTTCAGTTGCATGCTACCAACCGCAGATGTCTATAAATACAGGCAGGCATACATTATAAACAATAAATCAAATGCAGCAAAGAAACACTACTGCCGAATTGACTTGGTCAATAAACCTTTCTGTGATAAAGGCTGGTTTTAGTGGAAGTATGTAATGAAAAAGCGTTAATCCCTAGAATTGTAACTCTAGTTTTTTGGTTACAAATACAGGTTTCCTGAATTATTATTGTTTCAAAAAGCTGCTAGTTTTGGTTTCATCTTCCTCTTGATCCAGATGATGTGAAGGTAAAAACAATAACAGTGATTTGTTTCACAACCAAAAGGTGGCACCGTTGTCATCTTTTATCAAACCAGTGAGACCATCCCTGGTTTTCTGTACATATTAACCACTTAGATGTTGTTATCCTGCTTCTGTGACTGAGGCATACAATGCAAGTATATTATTTTCTCATTAAAACAGAAACCTGTGTTGAGTTTCCATAGCCATGGCTGTTCCTTGAAAATGTTTGCAGTGCCCCGAAACAGGGTTGGCTGCTGCTAATCCCAAATGGGATTGGCTGGTAAAATTGGAAGCAGGTACCATCGGGAGGAGAAATATGCTCTCACCCCATCCGTGTGAACAGCTGCTAAAAGATGTGCTGCATCAGTGCCCAAATATTGTACCAGCTGTTCTTTTCATTTTCAGCCTCAGTCTGTTGCTATTTTTTTTTTTCATCTGAGAGGAAAGTCTTGTCTTATATGACTGGAGAATAACTAATGTCATACCTGTATTTAAGAAAGGGGGAAGAGAAGTGATTCCATCAATGATTCAGTTGAGGAAAGAATAATTAAATTCATAGGAGTAAATAGTAAGGGAAATGTAATTGAATATGGATTTACCAAAGGTAAATCATGTCAAACTCATCTGATTTTTTTTTTAAAGCTGAGGGAAGTGCAGGAGATCTCAGTATAGCAAGTGACACAGAATCACATGAGAAATTATTAGTTACGTTAGGGCAGATGAGGATACATAGCATTGTTATGGGATAAGAAATTGACTATAGGGGAAAAGGTAGTAGGTTGTGATGAAAGGTGAATTATTGGATTGGAGTGAGGTTACTAGTGGCTCCTCAAGGATTGATCTTCAGATCCATTTTACTGAATATGTTTATTAATGATCTTCCCACAAAAAGTAGGAGCATGCTAATGAAATTAACTGACGATACCAAGTCGGGAGGCATCGTCAATACAGAGGAAGACTGGATTATTATACATGAAGATCTGGATGACCTTGAAGACTGGAGTGACAGAAATGGGGATGATTTGATAGTACAGAGTTCAATGCCATCCATGCCTTCTGAGCCTGAGCCAGCAATTGATACACCCATGAAAAAGGCAAGTGCAATCCTAGGATGTGTCATTTCCACCAGAGATACTGGAGAATTAATGCCATTGTATAAGGCATTAGTAAGATCCCATCTGGTATACTGGGTACAGTTCTGGTCATTTATATTCAAGAAATCAAGAAAGATTAATTTAAGCTGGAACAGGTGCAAGGAAGAGCTAATAGAATGATCAGGGGACTGGAGGATCTGTTTTAGGAGAGTGACCGGAAAGGTCTGGCTTGTTTAGCATATCAAAAAGAAGGCTGAGAGGGGATATGATTGCTTTCTATAAAATGCAGCCAGCGACTAAATACTGGGAGGGTGACCAGCTATTTAAGCTAAAAGACAATGTTGGCATAAGAATAAATGGATATAGGCTGGCCATGAACAAATTCAGTTCATTCTGGCTAAAATATCAATGGCTGAGCTTTTCCCTTAGAGCTTGACTATATCTACAGATACCAGGCCACTTAATTATTCTCTTCTCAAGGTAAACGCCCAATACAGGACAGTAGAACCCTTGGGAATGGACTCTGAAATGTCTGGACACTGATCAGAACATTATGGTGGTTCTTTCTAAAGTTTACAACTGAACATTGACTTAATGCAGCGTTGGAACTTTACCCTGCAGGAGAAAAATGCTGTTTTCTCATTTTTTTTGGTTTACGTTTAACACGGGGGGCGGGGGGTAGGGTTACTGTTGTGTTTTGGGAGGCTGGAAGGTTGGTCTCTGTTGCTGCCTGATTGTGGGCTTCCACCTCAAAACAAAGGTGCGTGGTTAGCAATGTTGGTATTCTTAACAATGAGGCTCTACTGTACTGTGAACCAGAGTCTCAGGCTAGGTCTACACTAGACCCGGGTTAAGCTATGCAACTCCAGCAATGTAAACTTAAGAATCTTTAAGAGGTTGAAGGTGCGTGGTTAGCAATGTTGGTATTCATAACAATGAAGCTCTACTGTACTGTGAACCAGAGTCTTAGACCCGGGGTAAGCTATGCAACTCCAGCAATGTAAAAACTTAAGTTGAGGTTGGTACCGTCTTCACAGAGAAAGGCAGACAGGAGCAAACACTCCCGTTAGCTTCCCTTACTCTCAGGAGGAGGAGTGCCAGAAGCCAGCGAGGGCTACCCTCAGCATTCGATTTAGCAGGTCTTAACTAGACCTGTTAAATCGAACACCAGAAGATGGATCTCCGGCACTGCAAGTTCCTCAGCTGAGGAGAGGTCAATATCGAGCATGGATTTCCTGACACATATTAATCAAGTAACAGGATATTAAAAGGCACTGGTTCATTTTACGCTTAGTGCTAATAGGTGTAGTTACTCAGGCTAAAACAGGACAATGCTGTCACCTTGTAACTACATAAGAAACACTTCCCTACCCTTCCTCTTCCCCTCATTGCACCACACTGAAGAAGACCAGATCATGGATGGCAAATACGCTGTTCATAACCCACAGCATCTTTGAATTTTAGGACATTTAAAAATGGGAAATGGCCCGTTTGAAGGCTGCAAGGGGAATAGGGTTCGGTACTAGTTGTCATAACCCACAGCATCTTTGAATTTTAGGACATTTAAAAATGGGAAATGGCCTGTTTGAAGGCTGCAAGGGGGACAGGGTTCGGTACTAGTTAAAATAACATCACAGCACCATGTCTCAGAGGGGTAGCTGGGTTAGTCTGTATCTGCTAAAACTGTGAGGAGTCCTGTGGCACTTTAAAGACTAACATTGATTTGGGCACAAGGTTTACCCATGAAAGCTTATGCCCTAATCTGTCAGTTTTTAATGCCACTGGACTCCTTGTTGTTACAGGATCCGTTGGGTCCACTGGTTCAGGGTGTTGTGCAACAAAATTGGTTACCACCAACCGTTCATGTGTAGGCTAGCACTGCTAAAATCACTGTCGTCCAAAGCTGCCAAAACACCTGTCCAATTTAAATTCACTCAGCCTTAGAGCACCCTGACAAGTAGCAAGGGAATCTCTGATACACCAGGGTAGAATCCACACCAAGGGCCTGTATCCGGTGGGAGGGTGAGAGATCCTGTTGCTCACAAGATCCAGTATAAGGACCCAGATCTGTATCTTTCGCCACAATACACTCGTTCAGAGCCCTTTCAAGTCCTCAATGTGGCCTCAAGCGGCTCAATGTTGCTGTCATGTCATCGCTTGGATGTAGCATTTGGAAAAGCACATGGCTAGGCCAAGAAGCTGCCTGTGAAATCAGTTCACTACCCCTATCACTTTTCTTCCTGCGGTTGGGTATAGATCGATTAACGCACTGGAACTTTGTGCCTCTTTAGAACTGCCCATGTCAGTCATTACAGTATATGAAGAACGTTAGTGGCCAAGCAGAGTCTCAAGATGTGCAAGATGTTCTGGCTTTGCAGTCCCCAGAGAACGTTCCTGATTGCTTGGGGGCTCGGCAGAGGTAGGTGCACAATATCTTGAGGGTAGCGGTGTTGTCTTGAGGGTGGCGGCTTTGTCTTGGGTCTGCTCTGGACCTCGGCCCACAAAGCCAACAGTGACCATGACCCTGATTTGGTCCCTTTGATCCTGTAGTTACTTTGCTAACTGAATGAGACCTGAACGAGTCCAGCCCCGGGATCCAATGCAGCACAAGCTCAGTTCTATTGGAGATGACATTTTTCTGTTTCCTCCACTATTTGCAGCCACCAACTTCCTATTTAGCTAGGACTTGACAGCCCCTCTGTGATCCTTGCCTCATCCTGGACCACGGGTAGCAGAATCTCTTTGCAGAAGGGCCTAATAGACGCGCTAACGGTGGAAGAACCATCACTTTAGCAGAATCTCTTTGCAGAAGGGCCTAATAGATGTGCTAAAGGTGGAAGAACCATCACTCGCGTTAATGGAAGGTGTAGGCCGTAAGCCACAAATTTGTGGAGTCGAACTGCAGCAATAATTCCAGTGTGTTCAGCCCAGCTCCGATTTGCGCTCAGTCTGGAACCTATGGCTCAGTGGGATTTCTCAAGGTATGAATTAATGTTGTCGTGTACATACAGAGCTCACGAAAGAGGCGTGATTGTCAGCCCTGGAGGCTGAAGGTTCGAGACTGTTGCCAACTGCAACTTCTGAATATCAATTGGAAAAATCGTGAGCTGTTTTTAAAAATTCGATTCTGTCTTCGTTTGTCTTTTGAACGTTCCCTAGTTGCCCCCAGTCAGTGTGTGGGATATTGCCCACTGTCTCAGTCGTACAGTGAGTGAGCATGCTGGTTTTGGCCCCAGCTGCACAAGAACTTGCTAGAAAACCTTAATGAGCCCTAATTACATAAATCTGTATAAACTTCGCTGAACCGTCAGCAGAGCTCCTACCTTCCCAGAGCCCCCAAATCCCAGTTAATGGATTCTGTGCCTGCCCCCGTCCCTTCAGGTAATTATGGGCCCCCCGCCCCGCCTCATTTCCACTGAGTCCTCACAGCGGCCGGCTCCACAACTTCTTCTCTCCATCTTGCACCGCCTGGCGCCATGCTGCTCTTCGGACAGTGATGTTAGCAACTCCCCCCGTCGTCATCCTAGGCACTGTGGAGTGGGGGTGAGGGTGGTGGCTCTATGGGGAGGGGCGTAGACGACACCAGGCTGCCGTGGTGTGGGTGGAGTACACACCTATGGGCCGGGGGAGAGGGGGGTTGAATAGGCACACCCAGCACCTGCCACGTGAGAACGTCCATCCTGCCAGGGTATGAGCTAGCAGTGAAATGGTCTGTCCCCCATTTCCAAATGGCCCCTCCCCCGGCCTTTCCAAGCACCCACTCTGACAGGCTCCCTTTGAAGCCAGCTGGCTCCATTACCCTTCTGCCCCCGGCGGCTGCTTGCTCTCCCTGCCAGCAGCCAGAGCACAGATGGCAGCTGCCTGCGGGGGTGGGAGGAAGGGCGGGAATGTCTCCTATCCCTTCCTGGGCCCTCAACTCCGGGCTGGATGCCGCAATAAGGGAGAGAAACTGGGGGTGGGAGGTGGGTGCAGATAACAAAAGAACGCCCCCCCCCCTTTGAGAAGTGTGAGGGGGGACATGAGAACACAGTCCAGGAGGATGTTGTGCAATGAGGGGGACGGTTGGGATTCAGATGGAGAGAGAGGGAGCGAGAGAGAGAGGGGTGAGAGCCAGAGAGAGAAAAGTCCCCCATCCACCCTCCTGCCAAAGGGAGGGAGCCGTTGGCCCACACTCTCTAACCACAAAATACAGGACTATGCAGCACTTTAAAGACTAACAAGATGGTTTATTAGGTGATGAGCTTTTGTGGGCCAGACCCACTTCCTCAGATCAAATAGTGGAAGAAAATAGTCACAGCCATATATACCAAAGGATACAATTTAAAAAATGAACACATATGAAAAGGACAAATCACATTTCAGAACAGGAGGGGATGCGGGGGGGTGGGGGGGAAGGAAGGTAAATGCCTCTGAGTTAATGATATTAGAGGTGGGGAAAGGTAGATGTCTGTGAGCTAATGGTATTAGAGGTGATAATTGGGGAAGCTATCTTGGTAATGGGTAAGTTAGTTGGGGTCTTTGTTCAGCCTAATCACTATTCTCTAACCACAGGCTTTTCTCCTGCATCTCTGTCTCCTGGGGGAATGTCCCAGGGCCTCTCACCTGCCTCAAAACCCCCCGCCGTCGGTGACACAACAGCTTGAGGTCCTGGGACACGGGGCTCACAGCTGGGAGCCTTCCCAAACCCCAGTGGGACAGGCAGCAGAGTTACCGCCAGAGAGGCCCAACCATGAGTGCCCTCCAGCCGGAGTTCTGGTAAGTGGGTGCTTCTTGTGGGCTGGGAGCTTGTCAGGGAACAGAGACCCGTGGCTCCCCTTGTGGGGGCAAGGGAGCTATCTGACTCAGACCCCTTTCCATATGGTGCTATTTAAACTAGTCCTGTGAAAATTAACCTCAAAGTCACCAGGAGCCCTGCAGACTCTGCCACCAGAGGCCTCGTGCCACCGTTTTCTGCAAATTGCCCACACGCAAGGACTGCGATGGCTGGCAATCTCCAAACCGGCGCGCTCAGCCAGTTGGTGAGCGAGAAGCACTTCTACCTGGAAGCTGGGAGGCTGAGACGCCAGCCTCTGCTAAACCGCCTCAGGCTTTTCCGTCCCTCCATTAGAGATGGAGCCGGTTCCTCTCAGCCAGACAGGCCCTAGGTGAAGAGTACTATGTTAGGCAGCCATGTTGGCAGTAGGTAGAATTAGCATGTGGTTAGCAATGCCCAGGAGTCAGGCCAGTAGCACAGATGTGTGTGCCTTACCACAGTGATGAGATGGCTCCAGAGGACACAACAAGGGAAGGAGGGGGGCTGGACTCGTGTTGGGAGGTAGGGCAGTGGGCAAAGGCAGGAACTGAGACTGGAACCAGATCACCGACAATATTGAGATATTTGATTTCACTGGGCGTTTGCCACCTAAGAATCTTTAAGGTGCTGGGCCTTGGTTCCTATCGCTTCAGAAATCAATCGAGTGAGTTTATCCCGACAGTTCGTATTAGAGATGGGACTGAAGCACAAAGTTGGAATGCAGAGCTGAATTTCCCCAACCGTAGGGGGCATTCAGAGCCAGAGTTCTGGTTCATGCCCACATACCGCTCACTATCTGAGTCAGCGACAAAAACCAAAGGGTGTCTGAAGGAGAAGCAGCCAAAGCAGGCCCAATGGGGAGCTCAGAATTTGGCACTAGCTATAATTTAGCTCAGTGCTAGTAATAATGTAAGAAGTGAGTTTAAAACATCTTAGCAAATGCAAATGAGGCCTGATGAAATGCCTGACTGACCTTGGTCCCTGAGCAGTGTTCCTGTAAACTGTCCACTTGTGTAGCCACTCAGGAGAGATTCAAATGCGGCCCAGCTGATTAGCAGAGTGCCCACAGCTAAGTTTTATTTTCACTGGTGGTGCACATTCCTTGGTGCACATGAAAAAATTATTCCGCATGCAGATGGAAAAGATTACAGGGAACATTGTCCCTGAGATAAGGGCTTCTGCTGCTGTATGTAGATACTAGTCATGATGTATCGTGTGATTGTTCAGTTGGGAGGGTAGCTGGAAACACCAAGGTGTGGGAACATGCCATGCCTCTAGTCATACACTGCTACACCTGCCCCCTTCTCGTTGGCAGAGCCATAGCAGAGTGACAGGGCAGAAAAATCACTGAGAAAAATGGAGCTGCCCAAAAGCTGCTTTATCGAAGTCCCTTACCCCTCCCTTGCTGCCAGATACACAAAATGGACTGGCTCATGTGGATCATGTGTGCAACGAAGTCCCTTACCCCTCCCTTGCTGCCACATACGCAAAATGGACTGGCTCATGTGGATCTGTGTGCAGTGACAGTGACATCTAGTGTGCAAACCGGGATGTACAGAAGTAGGTGCTTTATTTCCCAAGGACAGACCCCTGCTGTCCAGTCCTAGGAAGTAGGTAAATACAGAGACTGGCTGTCATGTACCATAAAATCTCAAGTATAATGCGCACTTTTTTTCCGGGTTATTTAGCGTCAAAGACAGGGTGCGCATTATACATAGGAGCTATATTTTAAAGTTTTATTTTCACAGAAGCCGATGAACCTGTAAGTAGCCCCAGGCCGGGGAACTCCCTCCCCCCTCCCCCCGAAACTTTCCCACGGCAGCGCGGCGTAGGAGCCGCCACCCCACCAGGCTCCCAGACAAGGTGAGGAGCCAGCAGCGCCACCAGGCTGCAGCACCCTGCCTGAAGCCCGGTGTTCCTTCAGGCTGCGCCAGGGGGTCCCCACAGCAGGCGTGAGCTCGGTGCAGCGCGTGGGCAGCTGTCCAGGGGGGCGGGGGGCAGATTTCAAACTCCGCCGCCGACTCCCCAGGCTGCACGCAAGTTTCCCGAGTGAGCCTGCAGGTGGGAGTGTCCCTCCCTCCCGCTCTCCTGCAGCCCGGGGTCGCCTCCGGGAAGTGGGCGAGGCTGGGCTTGGTGCTGGCAGGTCGGCTCCTGGCCTTTTTAAAGAAAAATGTCTGAGGTAAACTCGATGTACAGCGGGGTGCACATTATATATAGGAGTTCCGTTTTTTCATTATGCTGAGATTCAAAAGTCAGGGTGTGCATTATACATTGGTGCGTATTATACTCGAGATTTTACGGTATATACCCACCTAGGACTTGCATCTTACCTGCAGTTCCATACAAGAAAATCTCTTAAGGCAACTAAGTACAATGCAGTAAGAAGATTTGCTGAAGAAGAAGCAGGCCCAGTTTAAAAAAAAATAACATTCAGTGAAGTTATTCCCTTTTTTTCCTCTCTCTGGCACAGACTACCTTTGGTGTAATACATTAGCACAGGAGTCGGCATCCAAATACAACTTTGGAAACAGAATCAGATGGGCTGGTCCGTGTTTGGGTAAGTTGTACAACAGTAACTGGGTGTAACTTTCCTGTAAAAGGGGCAGGCAGGGTAGGATTGCAGCAAAGAACAGGAAAGCGATAAGAATAAGCAAGCGTCCCCTCTACTTATTGTCTCCTACACCTGCCTGTTGGCTGCTTTTCTTGCCATGATCCCTTGGCACATCAGTTACGCCCACTGGCCAACGTGGCCCTTGACAGCCTCGGAATGTGTCCCTCCAAATTTATGAAGGTAGGAGAGAGAGAGCCAGAGGAGTGACATGCGCCCCTTTTCACAAGGCTCATAATGCAGACCCACAGCACTTTTGTTCCTCCTTATGGGCTCTCTTTGTGTAAAGGATGTTTGTCTTGGTGGGGAAAATGGAAATAAGATCATCTCCTGTGGCAGCCAATTCACGATGCCAAAGTACTGTCTCATGAAATCTGAGTGTGCTGAGTATGGCTCAGGTTTGGTTTACCACTCAGGATTTCTAGCATCCATCTTAGCAAACAAAACAAAACAAAAAACCCATCCTCCCCCACCTCTTTCTGTAGCCTTCAGACTGGTAGGCTGAGCAAGAGGCATCAGGTAGATCAAACCACAGACATGTTTCTGGGTCAGGATAGGGGGAACAAAAGAAATCAGGCTCCACTCTCCCTACCCTGCCCTGTTGGGATAGTCTACAACCCAAACTAGCCTTGCTCGCTCGCTCTGTTTCAGCTTCTAACTATGAAAGCAATCTGAAGGAAGGGTGGCTTCATATAACACTTCCTGTCGATGCAAGAAAGGGAAACTACCACCTCCCCTGTTACTGCAGAGCGCTTCCCTATTACCTGAAGGAGTTAGAAGAAGTGGTTTGGTTTTGCTTTCTCAAAGGTCATTATCGATGGCATTAGAGTTATGGTCTTCTCTCAGTCAACGAAGGCTTTTTATTTACTCTTTGGGGTTAGGGACAGGAACCCCACAGACTGGGGGCTGCTCCAACCTGGCTGAAACAGTCCCCAGCTTGGATCCCGCTTTAGTCGGTTAACCAATTAACGGGATTTTACATCCCTAGTATGCAGTAAGTGAATTATCCATATAGATATTTCTAATGTAGCTACCAGCTTAGTACCTAGGCACCAGGAAAGTCAGATTCATTCTGCCAGCAAATGATCCTAAACTCTTCTTCCCTCCCTCAGTATAGCCTTTGTTCTAAGTGAGTTCATTTAAGGGCCATCGTTGGGTCTGTCTTTCCTCCTCACACTTCTGTTACAGGTGCCTTGCGCCCTGATCTAGGTGGACGTACCAAAGTCCAAGTCTGGAAAGGACACCAGAGTCTCATCTTCCTGCATGTAGGTTCTGTAGACCAGTTGACCCCCACTCCCAATCCTCTGTACCAGCAGACAGGGGCCAGGGATCTGAGATGCCCAAGGCGGCAGACCCAGTGCATGCATTGGGCTGCACGGTATAGAACAGTTCCTTAGAGAGGTTGTTGTGGGACCTGCAGCAGGTGGGGGTAGGGAGGCGAGAACAGGGGAGCACAAATAAGGTGCTTGGGTACCATGAGGTAGTCTCAGGTTCCACTCTTGAGTGCTCTGATCTGTGGAATAACAGTACAGTGGGTTATTGCCACTAGCTTCTCAGGATATGTCTACCCTGCAGTTAAAAACCAGCCACTGGGCACAGGCCAGCCGCTGAGGCCTAGGAGCTGTTGAATTGCTATGTAGATGTTCAGCCTTCGGCTAGGAGCCGGGCTCTAGGTTCCTAAGAGGCAGATGTTCAGGCTGAACCAACCACACGGCAGTTAAGCAACCCCTTAGCCTGGGCCGAGGAGCCTGTCAGCTGTGGGAGCTCATCCTCGGGGCTACGGGGCTGCACTGGGTATAGTCCAGGGCAGGGAGTGTCCAGGCTGGGGCCAGCTAAACATGGCTACACAAACCTAACCCCTCGCGAGATACCAGAGCTGGTTTACGGCAGGAGGTAAAGGGGCGACTCCGTCCTCCATCAGCTGAGGTGAGCAAAGGCCTTCAGCTGTAACTGAATGGTGCCAGGTTAGTTTAACATACTGACCAAACGAGGGAGTTCACAATCTCAACAGATAGTGGCACCCCCGTGAGTAGCACTTAGCCTGTGTGAACATGGCTAATTATGAGTCCTTAATTGGCACTGAAGCCTCCTAGCCTTCCTGCTGTCTCTCTCCAGGCAAAAAGATTGAGTCCCTCAAAACACGCTGGACGATTTGCGTGTCACAGTTTGGCTCCCCAGGTATTCTGTGTAGGAGGCCGCGGTTCAACAATTCTCTAATTGGAGGGGGAGAAAGTCGCTGTTAAAGCTGAAGAAAAACTGGGCCGTTCATACACGGCTGTGGCGTCAGCAGCAGGGCTTTGAGGCAGGGCATTGGTACAGGCCCAGTGCCAGAGCAGCTGGGATGAGCTGTTACTCTCTTCCCCACACCTCACATGCGTGTCTCTTCTGCTTCATCATTTCCTCCATTTCTCTGGTCTTTTTAAAAGGGTGATTCAGCAGCAGGGATTGTTTACACTTCAGTGCCAGACAGTCCCGAGGTTCCCGCTTTCATTGTGCACTGATAGAAGGAGAAAGACCATTTCCCTGACCCCTTCCCATCACCAACAACTCCTGACCGATTACTGACAGGAATAGTGTCCGTATTTGTACCAGACTGGCCCTCTTATCAGACTCACCTTTTCTCTATCATCCAGAGAGCAAAGGAGCTCTCATGTAAATTCAGTTCTTTGTTTTTGCTGGGAAAGTCTGTGGATAATTGGTTAAACTGATTTTACGGTAGCCCAGGTACCACGGCACTGAAACCTGAAGTGCTCAGATACTGTGAGCAGCAAGAATCTATAGACAGTAGAACAGAATAGAGCAGAAATTTTTACTCGGTTGTTGAAAGCACTGGCTATGCTTGGTTCTCTTAACACCTGTTCAGGACTTGAACACCTGTCAAACTTAAGTTTTTAAGCTTCAGATTCAACATCCCATTCCTTTAGTTAAGGGCCAGGAAAAGTCCCCAATCCCAGAATTCTGATCTTTCAAGGAGACTTCCAGCAAACTGGGAGTGAAGATAAAATGCAATTTGGAAAAAAAAATAGAAAGGAAGAAGCTTTCTGAACATCATAGAAACATTCAAGGGGCACAACTCAATTCTTTCCTCTCCCCCACAATTTTGCAGATCAAAATTGTGTGACAAGAGACAGGGTGAAGGGTCAAAATGATCTTCCGAATAACCTGACCGTAGTCAAGGCAGCTGATGAATATGTTTAAAAGGTTGCATTTACGTAAGGGTCCAGGAAGTTGCACATCGGGAAAGCAAAAATAAGACAGATGGAGAAGTGCTGTAAACAGTGGAAAAACCATGATGTCAGAAGAGGAAATAAAAGCCAGACAGATTGATAACTAAAAGAAAGGCTTTTAATATAGTTTATTCTTGTGAGGTTGAGGGAACCATTTCGAAGTCAGGTGAAATTACATGTTACATTAAAAAGAACAAGGGTTAAAGATAAACAGCAGCTAATGCGTTTGGCCAAGACCAGTGAAATCCCAGCAATTCAAATTGCGTGGGTCTGATGTGCTTTGTAAAGCAGACATTTGCTCCCGGGGGCCAAATCAATCCCTGGTTCAGCTCCTGGCCCTTTGTTTACTGGCTCAATCTCTAGTTAAAAGACTGCAGGAATGGCTGGACAATAACATGATATATGCTCCCTGGGATTTATTGCAACGCATACATTGTTTTCTAATAGGCAAGATGAGCGTAATAGAAGGTCAGTGTCTTCCAGCTAATTTTCAAAGGCAGTGGTTCCCAACCTTTTCACTAGTGCAGACCCCCAATCACCTCCCCAAACCATGCGCCAGTCCCCAATAACCCCCCCCAAACTGTTCGCGGACCCCCATCAAAGCCAATTCTAACCGCGATTCTAGTAGTCAGTGGAGTATTTTCTCACTTTTTGTTTACTTATGTCTGTTTGAAGCATCCACAAAGTAGAACATCTAATCACTCTGCTCATCAGTCTCCTTTCTCTTCAGTGAGGCTGATTTCAACCGCAGAGCCATGTTGAATGTATGGCCAACGTTTGTACGCTTCTAACCGTCACGATCGTTCATCACACGAAGGCGCCACAACATAGATTTTCGGACAGCAATGAATAACATTATTGGAAGGTATTTAATTTAAAAATAATAATTGATTGTAACTTTGCAATTTATTTAAAACTTATTTTCTGTGATCATTTTTATTTCTTTTTTTTTTTTTTCATGGATTCCCCTGCAATATCCTCGGGGGGTCGGACCCCAGGTTGGGTGCCACTGTTCTAAGGTATTTCTAAGGAATGGGGTGTGGCATTTAAACATGGGTGAGCCAGGCTCAGTTTCTTCTTCTATGGATGATAAAGATCTGCCACAGACTGAGGCACCAGAATAATGTTTATAGCAGCGGTTGCTGAGAGCCACTGAAGCAAATGTAAGCCCTATAATGGAAACCTCTCCAAGCTTGGAGGGGGAGGGGGGAGAAGGGGGAGATTGACTGCTGTGTCTCATCTGCTGAGGTTACCTGGAAGCCCTTAAGTATATGCACGAAAAAATGAGTGAGAGAAGTAGCAACACAATCCCACTGCTGTGTGATAACATGTTTGTTGTTGTCGGACAGGACCGTGCCCTGATGCTGGTGATCCAACACCAGCTCTGTTGGGCTGAACCGAAGGAAGCTGCTAACCATCCATAGCTTTCATTAGAAACTAGCAGGGTGTCTGACGTGCTCTGGGCAGTTTGCTTTCTTTATGCCGGAAAAGCTTAGTTTCTGAGTTGTGGGAGTTTCACATAGACACCCCGGTGAGAACAGCTGCTGACTGCAGTAAGGGATCGATTAAGCGTGTAAACATCCCCAGAGGTGTAGCATTGGTGTGGAATCTGTAGATCATTTTAAAAATGAAGTGCACTTGTTTGACTTGACATTAAGCAGAGAGGAGTCTGGCAAACTTTAAACAGCTCTAAGACTGAAAACAAGTGAAGTTTTCCTTCCGTGTGTGTTTGGTTTGCTTGGTTTTGTTTCAATAGCTAGGACAGCATAACACCCGGGTACACGCTTTGAGGAAATACAAAAATATATACAGTGTCATGAGCGTGGATAAAACCCACTTCATCAGTTATTCTCGAAGGTGCCACAGGGCTACTCACACGTTGCTCTTAGCATAAGCCTTCCCCATCTCTGTCTTTCTCCGGACATCTTACAACTTCTCAAATGCATAAACTCTTCAGAGCAGGGTCTGCATCCTTAGTTTGTTTGTTATTTGCCATATATGTTTGCAGCGCTTTCTGAAATAAAATATAGACACGGGGTAGACAAGAAGCATTGTTTCTGAATAACTTCCTTCAAATTAGGCTTCCACACATCTTTAGATTCAACAGTGATCCTTTTTTCCCCCTTTTTCTGTCAGTTGCCTGATGGCTCTAATCTTTCCACAGCTGACACTTTTGTTGTATCAGTCTTGGAATTTTTAACCTTATATTGTTGTTATTCCTCTTGTAGGCCACTGCACGCCCACCAAGACAGGGCTCGGACCTTTTCCAGGCCTAAATCCTCCCCCTTCCCAAAAGGTTACATGAAAGCCAGGTGCTTTAAGACTCTGTTCAATACCATCAAGGGATATTTTCCTCCCTATGGGCAGGGGGTTAATGTGGGGAGATCCCATTCATTGTACAATCCCATTCATTCACTTAACTACTTCTAGTTCCCCAAAAGAGAATGAAATCCTGGATAAAATGTGTAGTTTGGAAGTTGCAGTGATCTGATTTTTCCACTAAGGGGAGCAGCACACAAGTGAGTGCAGCACATGGAGTCAAGTATCAGAGGAGTAGCGTCTGAGGAAGTGGGTCTTTGCCCACAAAAGCTTATGTTCCAACACTTCAGTTAGTCTATAAGGTGCCACAGGACTCCTCGCCGCTTTTGCGGCACATGGAGTTTGCTGGCTCAGCATAGGACTCTGGAGTGAAAAATAAATAAATGTGGTAGGAGAGAAAAATCCAGAGAGATCTGCCATTTCTACTTCTCCAGTCTGCAGTTCTGAAGGGGAAGTAAAACAGCCATTAGTTAGCCTAGCTCTGGCCTTGCCTGCTCTCTTCCAACTTATCAAACATCCCCGGTGAGGAAAATGGATAAGTCAATACCCTCCATCAAGAATAACACCAGCACCACGTCCAGTTCTGCCTCTCAGCAGCCTGAAACCACAGAGGTTGTTACAGATGATAACCGGTCGTGAATCACTTTCCAATGCAGGGGCAACGCCGACACCTCCCCATAGGGATCCAAACCCATCTCATTGCCTCTGGTGGTGTAATGCCCTGTAACAGGGCTACCCAACTTCGGAACCTCTGGGGGCCACAATGACACTCACGCACATGCCGAGGGCTGCAACTTAAATGTGGTTGCATATGCATGCAATTATAGGCAAATAGCTTCTTTCACACTGACGGGGATGAATACAAAGCACTTCCCACAATGCCCCAGCACTCCCGGCACCTCTTCCTTGGGGGCTAGAAACACAGACACCCTGTACCCGTCTGTTCCAGCCGGCCTGTCCGCTTGCATCTTTCATTGCTCACCCTGTGAGGGAGACACCTCACCGTTGTGGAGCGTGTTCCCAGTAGAGGCCATGTTCAAATGATCCCACCCGTGGGCCACCTCTGAGTAGCCCTGCCCTATAGGCTGAGAGACATACAAGCCGCTTACATGAGTATCCCATCGACTTTAATGGAAGGGGCTGCCAGGCCAAGCTGGGGGGAACTCCACTCCGCATGCCAGAAGGGGTAGGGCCTCAGGTGGAAGATTGGCATCCCTCAGTGCTGCCTGGAGAGCAGCGTGCCCCACCCCATCTCAGAGCTGCCCAGAGCGCCCAGCCCAGCGCTCCAGCAGCGATGTAAAGGACCGGGAGCTCTGACTGCTGCTGCTGCTGCAGTAACAGTGCCAATGGCTGGGAGGGTTGGGCCCGTTTGTGTTGCTGGGCCCTGGGGCCCCCTTGACTCCTCTCCCCCAGTTGTCCGTGGAACTATGGCTACACTACAGCGCTTTTAGCAACAAGGCTGCATTGACACCATCATGTCACTAAAGTCAGGCCGTGCAAACTAGGCATGTGAAAGTATAACCACGTGCACAGTTACTACAAGAAACATTTGCTTCTTCGCTCCCGTCAACAAACACTGTTTACGTTAGCACTTGTGGCAGCAAAGCTTGTGTCCTTCAGGGGAGGGTTTTTTAAGCACCTGACAAAGCAATACTGAAAATCAAGGGTTTCGTTCCAATAGAACTTTTCTAGCGGCTTTGCTGCAGCAAACACTTCTTCATCCCCACAGCTTGTCACTAGGGTTGCCGGGTGTTCGGTTTTGAACTGGATAGTCTAGTATTTGAGCTTTTTGTTCGGGAAACCAATTAGAAAATACCGGACATTTCTTTTCTATTTTCTCATTTATATTTTCTCAAATAAGATGGAATGTAGATTGTGATGGAATGTCAAGTGTGTCCGGTATTTTTGTTGAAACCATCTGGCAACCCTACTTGTCACGCCAGCTCTCCTTCGCCTGGCCTGATTTTGGATTAGTTTCTGGGTGGAGTTTAAGGTGTTGACTTGGACTAAATAGTTTCATACCTGCTTAAATGAGAGGCCATGGGGAAGGGCTGTGTCATCAGTTGTGTGACTCACTCTCTTCCTAACCTCTTTGGCCTACTAAGGCCCCACTTGGTTGGCCTCGAGGTCAGGCAGAGCATTTCTCTCTGTGCCCAGACTTGACCGAGGGCTGAGCTGCTGCGTGGTGTGATCTGGTTGTGGGAGGTCGATGACGTTTTTGGATCTCTCATATATGCAATAAGCGGCGAGGAGTCCTGTGGCACCTTATAGACTAACCAAAGTGTTGGAGCATAAGCTTTCGTGGGCAAAGACACACTTCATCAGATGCATGTGACGAAGTGGGTCTTTGCCCACGAAAGCTTATGCTCCAACACTTTGGTTAGTCTATAAGGTGCCACAGGACTCCTTGCTGCTTTTGCAGATTCAGACTAACACGGCTACCCCTCTGATACTCACATATGCGATGTATCTCTCTGGCTATCCACAGACACCATGATACAGCTGAAGCTGGATTAATGTGAGCCCAGAGCAATTTGGCTCCTGTACACAAATCTTTTCCCCAATTTAAAGCAAAATTATCACAATTACGACACTGAGGCCATTAACACTCTATTTGCCTTTTAACGTAAAGCCCTTTTGTGGTGATATTCAGTCTTCAAACATGTAGCACATCGTTAATTCAAAAGAGCCTCCTCCTTACCTTAGAACAGCTGTTAGATTAGTTTCTTTCTGGGAGGGAGCGTAGTGCAAGAGGGGGTTCAGACCTGGGCCAGGAGGGTGGAGTGCAGGAGGAAGGGTGAGGTTCAGGCTCCGGTTGGGAGGCACTTACCATAGGTGTCTCCTATGCAGGCAGGCACACAGATTCAGGACCAATGGGAGCGACAGGGATAGTGCTGGAAGTGTGGACAGCGCGCAGAGCCTCTTCCCCCTCGCACAGGAGATGCAGAGATGTGTCAGCGGCCAGCCTCTTCTAGGAGCTCCATGGAGCCATGCAGGCAGTGTTCCTGAGACCTGCTAGACTTCTAGTGGCCTCAGAGATCACGATCGACTGGCAGAGGTGCCAGGATCCACCAGTCAATTGACAGGTGGGTGACCACTGAGTATATAACTATGGATTTATTTTTGTAGGGCCTGCCTTAGCCTGAGGCCCTGGGCTGCCACCCCAAAAGCCCCTGTGTTAATCTGGCTCTGAGTGCAGCATGGTATAATGCTCTGGGTCCCACCTGGGAAGTGGAGCAAAAGACCAGTCTGCGTCCCAAGTAACACCACTGAAGATTAGTGCTCAGAGGCTGCCCCTGCACTTCCTACATGATCTGGGGACAGCTGCATTACACAGCAAAGCCCCAAGCAAGATTTGCAGGGCGCAGGCTGTGATAACCTCGTTAAAGGCTGCCCTCCCACCTGCCTTTAGACATGGTGCTTTGAATGGTGGCTATCTGGCCGGTGGGGATCAAGGTGCTATACTGCTGCGTGTATTTCCCCTGCTTTTGTTTCTCGGACATCCCTAGAGAGCGTGGAGGGAAGAAGGGGTAGGAGAAGAGATCCTGGTTTACCCAAAGCAAACACAAGAGCAGCCTTAGTGCAACAGGATAGTGAAATCATTGAGCAATCGGTCCTTGGTCATTTGCTGCTCTTGCGTAGGACGCAAAAGAATATAGATGGCTGCAACTACAGATCTCCAAGAGGGTTAATTAATGGAATGAAACTGTAGACAATGCTTCCTGCTGCCCAGTTCCCCTCCCTTCAAGGACTAGGGCTAGGTTAGTCATCAGTTTGCTTCTCCTTCCATCGCTCCATGTTTTGTGTCTCCATCCTGATACTGGTGGAGTGCTCAGTTATGGCTGTTGGGATTAGTCATTAAAATATTAGGGACTTTTATCATTCCAGTGTGCGTGGGATTGCTGGCTACCAAACAATAGCTACTTTCTTCCCTGGGCTCAACCCTGGGGATTTCTCGGGCACTGCCCCCCTGGGATCTAGGCTCCAGATAGATGTGGCTAATCAAGGCCATGTTATCAGTTTCATATTACCTCACAGGGGTTCCCACCTATACACTGAGGAGTCCTGTGGCACTGTGGGGTAGGGGTGGGGAACCTCAGGTCCAGAGGCTGGATGCGGCCCCTGGCTTGCCTGAATCCAGCCCCTTATCTGTCCTATGTCCCAAGGGTGCCTGGTGCATACATCACCAAGCTGGTGCTGGCTGTCCTGGGGTGAGGGATGGAGGGGGAGGGGAGAGGCAGAGCTCAAACTCTTGACCTCTCTGGCTCTGGAGGTGGGTACCTTATCCACTGGAGAAGCCCCCCATCCTCCCTACATTCTGGGCCCCCCTTATCTGTCCTGTGTTCCCCAGGCAAATGCCATATCCCCTAGGCCACTCCAGAACCCACCCCACTACCCTTCCTTCAGTGGGTCCCTCATCCTGCCTAAGCTCTTGACCTCTCTGGCTCTGGAGGTGGGTACCTTATCCACTGGAGAAGCCCCCCATCCTCCCTACATTCTGGGCCCCCCTTATCTGTCCTGTGTTCCCCAGGCAAATGCCATATCCCCTAGGCCACTCCAGAACCCACCCCACTACCCTTCCTTCAGTGGGTCCCTCATCCTGCCTTCCTAATGCAGGAGCCAGCTCCATCCCTGGGGCAGCCTGTGTGGTTGGCTGTCTGGATGCTCCCAGGGTGGCCAGGACTTGAGCCCCACCCCTCTGTGCTCCCAGGCAAATGTTATATCCCCATAACCCTCAACCTCTGGCTCCGGAGGCATTGGGGAGCTTATGCTGGTGCTCCAGCCTCTTCTCCCCC